AATATTAACATAAAATTTAATATAAATTTAAATATCTTTAGATTTAATAAAATGGTGAAATTCTCTAATATATAGTCAGTTCTACACTTACGCTAATGAATTCATACAATTTACTAACAAATATAAAATGTATTTTTTGGGATCAGTCTTCAACATAAATTTTAATTAATTATTGTATTTTTTAGAAAAGAAAATGCATTTTTGTTTTTGCTTAATGTACTGAAAATTTTATCTGTAAATATAGTATATATGATATTTATGTTAGATATTTGCTGTGATTTTAATTTGAAAAGTCTTTACGACTCGTTAGGAATTCTGAAAAATCTCTTTACATTTATCGCACACTCAATACATGGGTTGACTTTCATTGTGAATACAGTTATATATAGTATTTTGCTTTTGTCCTAAAGTTTTTGTCAATTATTTGTAATTTTATTCTGTATTTAGTTGTCGTTTTCATTTCGGTTGCAATTTATGTCAAAATGAAATATTTTTTATCACTTAAAGTGTTCACCAAAAACATAATGTCTAGAAAATCAGAATTAATGCAACGACTGAATAGTGAATTGAAATTATAAATGCCAGAGACATGTGTTTTCATAGATTATTATGTTTTTTTTTTTTATCACTTAAAGTGTTCACCAAAAACATAATGTCTAGAAAATCAGAATTAATGCAACGACTGAATAGTGAATTGAAATTATAAATGCCAGAGACATGTGTTTTCATAGATTATTATGTTTTTGTTTGAACGCAACGAATAATAAATTCAAATAAATTACTTTAAAATAATTAAATAAAAATAAAGACAGAGATTCTACACTTGTTTTCCCATTATATTCACTAATTTTGAGTTATGTTTTGCAATAAGAAATGAAGTGAAGCGAAGAAATGGAAAATTCTTAATGAATAACACGAAGAAAGTAAATATTATTTAAGAAAAAATTGTGTAATTTATGTTTTTTTACAGAAAGATTTACTCAAAGTCTTTGAATAAATATTTGAATTAATATTCTAATAGAAAATATTCTTAATGAATAACACGAAGAAAGTAAATATTATTTAAGAAAAAATTGTGTAATTTATGTTTTTTACAGAAAGATTTACTCAAAGTCTTTGAATAAATATTTGAATTAATATTCTAATAGAAAATATTGAGTAAGAATTTGAAATATTCTAAAAAATAGCTCTTATTTTATGAAAAAATATCTCAAACTATAGGTAAAAAATCTATTAAATTTTAAAACTCGGGGCAATTTTTTATTAAAAAGTCTGGCAATTCTTTCGAAAGGATTTTGACGTTTTAAATCTAAATTTCATCAATTATTGCTAATATTAAAAACATTATGCCCTAGGTTAGGTTAGGTTAGGTTTTAGTTTTGAGAAATTTATTAGTTATTTATAATGTATTTATTTTAATCTATTTTGCGAGTAAAATAAATTATTTACTAAATTTAATTTGTTTTAAAAAGTATGATAATTATTTATACTGCAATTTAAATATTATATTTATATTATTGAATAAGAAATTAATAATTTACATTTAAAAAGTGCATAAAATCTAAAGATTGGTAATCATTGAAAATCCTTCATTCATTATCTCTTTTTATTAAATTTAGGATTTTAATCAAATATTCATTTTAGAGATTTATTCAATGATTCAAGGATAAATTGGTGACCAGTGGTGGCCAAAGGATGCAATATTGATGACCCAAACATACCCTTGAATTAGGAATGGGTTTGAAATAGTGCTGAGTTTAATGGAAAGGTAAACGTATTTGGTTTGCGTTTAGATTACTTAATATGAGAGCAATTTGTTGAATAAGTAGTGGAATTAAGCGAAAACCTAAGTGTTTCGCTCTTTATATCTTATTTAATAAACACCTGTTATACAGAATTAATGATATTCTTGAGTACACAACACAACACAACACAACATATTCTTATGGATTTCCAGAGAAAATGTGAGGAAAAGCATAATTACGACAAAACTCTCGTTTAAAATAAACTATTCTATGAATGGGTTTGCAATGAATACAGAATTAGACTTCAATTCAATTCTCATCAAAACAAGAATTGCATTGAGTTTTATGTAATACTTTTGGCCGAAAATATGTTTGTTATGCATTCAAATCAAATCCAGATTTTCAGTTGACATAAAGCTATTTATGTTTATAAAAGCTATTTAATCATTAATGACTGCCGTTTATAGACTTAAATTAAAGTAATTCCAAACATTTTAAATATTCAGTGGAAAAATAATAATTTTTTGAAAAATATGTGTATAAACAACAAATTTTAATCTAAAACTCAACATTTCATTCATATTTGTGAAAAATATTTAAATTGAACTAAAAATAACCAGAATATGAGCAGAAAAATGGGTAAATGTAAATCAGTGTTGTATTTGAAGCCAACAACAAAATATTTCATAAACTTGTAAATAAAATAAAAGACTTTTTCACACTTTAATAAAAATAGATTTAGAAATACATATTCTTCGCGCCTTTGAAACTCTTTGAAACAAAATTTTGCATAAAATTTATTAAATATTTATATCGATATTTCATGTTTAATATAATCTGTTTCTTCTGTCGAGATATAAATAATGAAGAAAAATAGTGATAGAAAATAATAGCTACTGAACTGAGAGTATCGATCCATTTTCTGCAATAGCCGGGCCAGTCGTAACAGTCGCGTCAGTTTTAGTAAATGTATTAATGGCGTAATCTTATTATCCCAATCAATACAATGGCAAACCCATCGCAGAGATTATAAAAAAGGAAAAACATGGTTAAAAATGGTTAAAAAGCTTTTTGTGTTATTGAAAAAGCGAAGCATAAGAATTATGTGGTCATGAATTGAATGGCAAAGACTTACTCGACTGTAAAGGTTGGCCGCGTATAGCAGGTCGAAGGGAAGGGCGGCCAACAGGTCCACCCCAAACCACCCGCGCATATAGTGTTTGGCAATTGATTTAGATTTGGCCACAACTTCGCCCTTCTTGTTCACAAATGTGGTCCGAAAGTTCATTATTATATCTGTTTCGCGATATTTATCATTTATTATTATTTATAAAAATATTTGTGAATTTAGTAATTAATGTTATTATTTTAAATTAATGTAATTCCTTACCAAAAATAAACACAATTTCGACGCCTATATCAGTGATAATGGTTTTCCTGTCGGGCACTTCATCGGCGTGTCGGTGCCTGAAGGCTGCGCTGTACGGCACTATTATGGCCACATAGAAAGTGGCTATAAGTATGAGCCAATCCCAGCACGTCTTAAACATGCCGTAATGGGAGAGAACAAGCCGTGACTTCTTGAAGGCAGCCGTCTTATACTCTGGCAATGCTGTCGAGTGCAGTATATTCTATGGCATAGACATCGAAGGGTCAGCACATTATATAATACATCACTCAATTGATCGCTAATCCAAACAATCATACGATAAGGCGCTTAAATTACTTACATTATTGAGTTTAAGCTTTGACTTAACGGTAACACTGCGTCTGTAGTGTCCGGACAGTTGGTAGAGAAC